TTTTATTGTGAGAGATCATAATCAGCCTTACAATTTGTTACTTAAAATCTAAATTACGTATCAAAACTAACAATGTTTCCCACATATAGACTTTATGGCAGGTTTTCTTAACAAAACATCAAAACTTATATTAATCTTTCCTCAAACACCTATCCATTTTAAAAAAAACTTTGGAAAAACTTTAGAAAGTACAAGAACTCATGTTAGGTAGTCAAAAAATAGTAATTTAAACAAAATGCTTATAAAAAATAAGATAATTACTTAATGTTTAGCTTCTATTGCACATTATATCCACTGAAGTAAAAAAAAAAGTATAAAGAGATGATGTTCGAGATGCGCCCTTTGAGAAATTTGGTTTTGGCAACTGCAAAACAACATCCTTGAAATCAATGCTTGCCTTATCTTCTACAATGGGGAAGACAAACATACAAGATCCTGTTTCCCCCCCCCGGAGATTTCACACTTGATAATCAGATATTTAGAACTAAAAGTTATTAATAAACCCACTGAACTTACCGTATTTTTCGCTCTATAACACGCACCTGACCATAACACGCACATCGTTTTTAGAGGAGGAAAACAAGGGAAAAAACATTCTGAATGAAACAGTGGATGTATCATTTTTGTGCTTCATGCTGTGGCCACAGACATGTGATCTGATGGTGAATTTGGGGTGACCCAATGCAAAAATCCTGATAATTCCTGTGGATCCATGCTTTGTAACCACGTTTTTGCACCATTGCAGCCCCAGGCAACAGTGGGTGTGTGATTTTTTGGGTGCAGGCTGTAGCCATGGACATGCTATGTGATCTGATGGTGAATTTGGGGTGACCCAATGCAAAGATCCTGAGAATCCCTGTGGATCCATGCTTTGTAACCACATTTTTGCACCATTGCAGCCCCAGGCAACAGTGGGTGCGTGCTTTTTTTGGTGCAGGCTGTAGCCATGGACATGCTATGTGATCTGATGGTGAATTTGGGGTGACCCAATGCAAAGATCCTGAGGATCCATGTGGATCCATGCTTTTTAACCACGTTTTTGCACCATTGCAGCCCCAGGCAACAGTGGGATCTATGCTTTGTAACCACATTTTAAGTGGGGAGCGAAGGAAAAACAAAGAAGGGACATGAGAGGGCAGAGAAGCAGCTGGCTAAGAATGCTGGAGAGGGATTTAACCGGTGGGAGGAAAGAAAGGCAAAAGTTCCCCCCCAAGCCAGCCATCTCTCTCTCTCTCCCTCCCTCCCTCCCCCCCTCTCTCTCCCTCCCCCCCCTCTCTCCCTCTCCCTCCCCCTCCCCCCCTCTCTCTCCCTCTCCCCCAGCAGCACCGGAGCACAGAGAGGAATTAGAAAGAGCGACACTCTGCTTGCCTGGAGGGGAGGGGCTTTCCCTGCTCTTTGTTCCGTTTCAGCAATCACAGCAACGAAACAGAGGAGGGTGGGCAGTAAGACCCTGAGGCAGAATGCAGGAAAGCTGCCACTTCCTCTTTTCAGGTTTCCCTTCTCCGTGACTCGCGGTTTGACTTTTGCTTGATTTTTTGGCTCCAGGGACCACACATTCGCTCTATAACACGCACAGACATTTCCCCTTCCTTTTTAGGAGAAAAAATCTGCGTGTTATAGAGGGAAAAATACGGTATTTACACTTATGTGTAATCCTGATTACTGAGTGGGATAACTTACCTTTGGTATTTTAAAATCTTAACTAAATAATGTAAAACAGTGTTCGAACACTTTTACATTTCACGTAATTTTTCAGTTGGCCGCACTAAAAACACACCTACTCTGGTCAAATGCCAACATGGAACTGGCAGGCGGTGTGGTCACAACTGTCGTACTCACACATGTATAGACATGTTTTAGTGATGTCACGACACAAATAACGTTTCTTGATATTGAAATATTGTTGGTGTATCAATGTGTCCCTTGCATCAATGTGTCCCGCCTCCCCTTAGTTTGTTTTCATGGCTGAAATGAGTTTGTACAAAGATATGAGTTACGTTTGTTTCCTTGCCGGTTTTGGCTTTGGCCCTGTCCACCCCTGGGGCATGAAGCCCCAAGAAGGCTTCCCTTGAGGCAATGTGACTTTTGAGCTAAGAAAGATGCCACAGCCCTGATGTAGACCAATAATGAATCTGAGGCATAGCTGTCAACTTTTCCCTTTTCCTGTGAGGAATCCTATTCGGAACAAGGGAATTTCCCTTTAAAAAAGGGAAACGTTGACAGCTATGATCTGAGGAGGGAATTGAGAGGAAGGCAACTGATACTGAATTCTCATGACTACCATCTTCAGTTCTATCCTGGGAGAAAGGGAGGGGGAACAGAATCATAGTAAATGAATATATGCCGGCGGTTTCAACAACACCCATCCTGCGCAGTCAAAGACATTTGCTAAATAAGTGCAAAAATGTTCCCCTTATCAGAAATATTAGGACGCTGTTCTTTGTTTTCAGCATCTGCTAAAGAAAAAGTTGTTTAAGCAAGTTATGTAAATTTCACATGCAATATTATTTTAGAACGTGCTTTTTTTTAGTGCTAGTTTTATTTATATGCATTTTTTAAGTGACCTTGTATTTAACATCTGATCGTACCAGTAATTATAGTATATGTTATGCAAACCACTTACAAGTAAATAACATGTTAAGTAGCATGTTAAGTAGAATGTTAATTCTATTAAATAAATATAAATAAATAAATGTCAAATTAGAGCTGAGCCAAAATGATAACAGCGGCAGAATGGAAATAGTACGGAGTGTGACAAATACAGATCGGAATTGAAATCAATGTCATTTTACATCCAAGTTCAAATACAGTTTTGGTCCGTGATAAAAGAGAGTCGTGCAATCCCTGATATTGTCTTGACTTAACAAACCAGATTGGCTTAACGAACCAATACATTATTAACATCAGCAACATCGCTACAGCTTGGACTTGAAATTCGCTGCCTGGTTTGTGGTTTGAAGTTTCAAAAGGGAATATCTGAAAATAGTTTTTAATTTGAATTCTGAAACACTGCCCAATTTTAACCTGTGTGTGAAATTATATTTCACCTACATCAAAATATACTGGGATCAGTCCATATCTATGCTAGTGGTTCCCCAACTTTTTCAGGACACTGTCCCACTTGGTTCTATAAACTCATCCCAAGCAGCTGCTACTCTATAAAAAGCATTATTCAGAACAGCGGTTTGCACAACCCATGAAGGACACAATAAAATTCAAAACAGTAATTGCACATTTATTCAAAAGATAAATGTATGCAAAAATAAATATATGTTCTGATCTAATCTTGTAGCTAAAAAAAAGAATATATGGGAAACGAATATTGCATGAAAAATATTTTTACGCATTCTTACTACCGAAAATACAAGGGTGAAGGAATTTCATAGTATAAATTGTTTATATATAGATACTTCCAAAACCTTCCAAAACCTTCAACTACCACAGATGTACAGTAACTAATTTATAAGACAATCAGTATTACCAATAATTGGCTATCTTGTGGCTTGTTACAACTCAGAATCATAAATACGAACGAATGTGACTAAAGCAAACAACTTTGGAAGTGACAAGAGCAATAAAACTTTAAATATAAAACAAGTAAGGTGTTTCGCTTTAGGCTCTCGCCTAGTCAATTCTAAATAAGAAATCAGTGCACTCAGAAAAGCCCACCTACAGCACCCCACTGCTGCCCCCTTGCCTTTTAATAAGGGGTGGGGGATGTAACCACCTCCACACCTTAATGCTTAATGGGGCAGTGTAGGGGTGGCTCGGAGGCTTTGTAGATACAAGGGGTAGCCATCAAGGGCACCATTGCATGTATAGGCACTATGCCGATGAGCCTTGCCTTTGGATTACAGCACAATTGTCCTTCTAGGGTGACGGCAGCAGTAGTAATAATAAATTATCCAGTTAAAACAAACATACCCTCTAAAAATTGAGCAGCAGTAATTAATACAAGGGCAATGAATAAAAGCATTTAATAAAAGCTTCAGCATTTAAAAGTGGACAGAAATAAAAAATATCTAAAGCTTTTTTCCTTAAACATTGTCAAGATCAGGGCTACATCATTTGTTTCCTGGAGGAGAAAGTTGTGCAATCACAAGGGGCACAATTTGCACACATGATGTATCTCAATCATTTAAGATGATTAATAGAATCGTACTGATTTGCTGAATCCCGATGTAATTTCCCCATGAATAACTCCCCGCCCTCAAACAAAAACAACCCCACATACTATTAAAGCAACATTGGCCATGCGGGTCAATGATGCCAACTTTAAAAATGAAGATGAAACATTTTTATTATTTGTTTCAGCTGAGGATTGTTGAGTAGATAGTCTTATACATGCATCCCTGAGGCTAGTGTCTCAGGTCAGGTCCTGGTGGAGAACAATAAAAGGCCCTCTGCACATGGTCAAAATCAGCCCTCCTTTACCAGCACCTAACATATCCCTGCAGTGACTCCAATCATGAAAAACTGTTCCTGACTCAAATCTGGCTTGAATTAATCCATACTCTCTCCCACCTCTTGGAAAAGAAGAACAAACATTTATTGGCCCTGTGCAGATCTAACATATCTCATCCTATTAAGCCACAATATGCCCAAGCTTTGTCCACACAGTCCCTCTTTCCTCCTCCTGTCACAGCATGCCACAGTTGAAGACTTCATGGGTTAATTAATCATGGATTCCTGCTTCATTAGAACTGGGAAACTGAGGTTACTGGGATTGGGGAAACTTATATCTGAATGCAATTTCACCCAACGTGATCCTGGTAACCATAGATTCCTGGTTCAGACATAACAGGGGACAACTGTTGGTTAACCCAGGAAATCTGGTGCACACCAAGAGGGAGCAAGGAAGAGATGGTAAACAAGGCTTGGGCACAGCTTGTCTCAATAAACTGAGATACATTATGCCAAAGCCAGGCCATTAAGAGGTGAGAATTCAGCCAAACAATAGAGATAATCAGACTCAAGTAGAATAGGTACTTCACAAATACCTGTGGGCGTTTCCATTCCACTCTCCCCTGTGGAGGAGTGTTGTAGAAGAGAGATGCATCGCAAGCTGGAAATTCAGGGTCTTCAAAGAGCTTGCCTTCTTCAAGGCATTGCCGCTTGAGTTCGAAGTAATTTTGGTCCTTGAAGGGTTTTGCCATTGTAGAACACATGGCGATCTGTCCAAAGCCAGATGAAAACAAATCGTTTTGTAAAAACTGTTTAACCAACATATCAGTCTAAGACATGAGCAGCAAGAAGCAAATCCAGGGCAAGGCCGATAATCTTTACAAATGATGGATTGCAAATTAAAAGAAGGGTACGGGTACGGCAGAATTGATGGGCTGAAGAGTAATAAAGAGCTATGTGCCTAAATACTTGTGGCATTCTCTCTCTTTCATGAAGGATGCCAGTGGGGACTGGTCCATTGGGGCAAATGTTGAGGTGCTGCCCACCAACTTCATTCTGCTCTGAGCCAGTATAGTCTACTCTGATTCTTCGCAAATATAATCTGAAGTCTTCTCCCCGTCATTTTCTGCCTTGTCCCTTTAAACAGAGATTGTAGCGATATGAACACTGCTTCTCTAGAGAAGAATTCAGCATAACCGCTGGCTCTTTGTGAATAATGCAGTACTTTTTTTGGACCATGCAACTGGGTGCCCATGGGCCTTTCTAATGGGATTGACACCCTCCCAGAAAAGCAGCTGGCCCTGAACCTTATTATTGCATCATTCACATGCAACCCACAACTTTTTAGGATCACCCCATGGTGAAATGATTTCCGTGCTACGATTACCTTGTTCAATGTATAATTAATGTTAATATTAGGCAGGCATCTTCATTGCATTGTTTTCTGTCTGCCTAATTTGTTGTTGTTGTTTAGGCCAGCTGAATCATAGAATCAGAGAATTGAATAGTTGGAAGGGACCCTGAAGATCTTCTAGTCCAACCCCCTGCAATGCAGGAATATACAGTTGTCCCATACGGGGCTCAAACCCACAACACTGGAATTATCAGCACCATGCACAACACTGGAATTTTCAGCACCAACTGAGCTGTCCAACTAAACCAGGCATATAATTTTATTGTTTATATTTGTTTCAAAAACAGTTGATTTTAAGTATTTTTTTTAATAGTGTTCTCTGCTGCTTTTAAAGGTTTTTTTGTTTTTTGGTTATTTTTAATAAAGGTATTAAACTCATGTAAGCTATTTTGCAAAATGAAATTTAAAACAAAATCCATCCTTTAGAACACATTACAAGAACAGAAAGCAGAAGGGCCTGGCATGCCGAAAGTCCCTAGTTTGATCCCCGGGATCTTCAGGGAGGGTTGGGCAATACTCCTGCCTGAAACCCTGGAGAGCTGTTGCCAGTCAGTGTAAACAATATTGCGCTAGATGGAGCAATGGTCTGACTCAGTATGAGGCGGCTTGCCTCACTGAAGATCTCACTTCATGAATCTTACAATAACCACAAAGCTTACACTATAACAAATAGATTAATTTAAGGTTCCACAAGACTCTTTGTCCTCTCTCACACACAGAAGCACTGCAAATTTGAGGTGGGGGTATAAAGACTGGACGTGGACCAAAAAGACATTGTCTTCTTGGGTAGGATGGAGATCGTTAGTTTGTGATACAACTCATTGGCATATTCTGATTAAAAAAACCCCAAAACACTGCAGTGGATAAACTGCAGATGCGTTTTATGAACATGCCCCAGCCTAAATCAGCTCAAGGGAAATATTCTCTCCATATGTCTGCAAACTGCTGTGCCGCAATTCACACAGGTAGGATTTTAATGGTCATCACCCCACACCCCCTTTTCGGCTTTCAGTACACAACACTGACTAGGAATCTCCTGAGGTTTTCCGACAACATCATGGTTCAGTGCATATTATAAAAATGTGATCTAACAAGTTAAGGCTGCAGGGAAAAATAAGGTGTGACTTTGTGGGGTGGGGTGGTGGTTGGGGGGGGAGGGAGGAGAGGATGTAATTCTGTATGAGTTAATCACCACCACAGCTATCACAATGGGAGAGGGGCTCTTCCTTCGATAATTAGAGTAGAAACGTAATCAACAGAAGCATCTGCTGCCCACAAACATTTATCACAAGGTTATAACCTTGTACTAATCTTCTGTACTGTGTAAAAAGATCTACCTTGTTTATCTTATTCCACCTCCGCAGAACCTTTGCAAGGCAACACATTAATGAAACACGGCTTTACAGGTATCCGCTGCACGGATCTGAAGGCCTCATTTAGAGTGGCCCATCAGCCAGCTCATTCATACGCGTAACGGCATATAGGAGCACATTATTGTCCTGAGCCGTATAATGTCACCCAGAGGAGGGATTGGTACAACATTTGGGGCTTTTTAAACTTGGAGGGTGGAGGAGATGAGTAAGGGGGAAAGATGGATGCTTATAAAATTATACATCCTATAGTACAGCAGGAATGGAGAAGCTGCAACCCTCAAAATATTGCTGGAATAGAGCTTCCATCTTTCCGTGCTATTGGTCATGCTGGCTGTGGCTGATGCGAGTTGTAGTTCCACAACATTTGGAAGGACCCCACTCTCCCCCATTCCTAGTTCAGAGAAAGCGGGTGTGGAGACGTTTCTCATTCTCTCACACAGAACCAGGGTTGGGGACCTAATTGTTAACGAACATATTGGTCAACATAATGCTCTCACGCACACTCAAACACACACATTACGAAATGTTGGTTGTTCAGTTGCGAGTGCTGCAATGATATTATCATATTTATTATATATTATGATCGTCATACAATTGCATTTAAGTGGGCTTCCCCCCCTGTGCACTGCTTTGAGTCCAAATGGTATTTGGAGTAAATGTGGTATATAAATAAACTCACTATGACTAATGCCATCAAAAACATATAATCTGCTGGTTTTTAATTTCGGTCTTTAATGGAAGATACATTTTAAAAAGATCTCTACAGGCTGCTTTTTAATCTAAGTACAGTTACGGCTTGATGAAATCAGTCAGTAATGCTGTTTGTTTTTAATCGCTGTGTATCTGTGATTTATGGACTTTATTTTTTGTAGCCCCCTGAAGGAGGCTTTTAAACCAAGATTGGCTGGAACACGCTGAGTTGCCATAAAATGAAACACCCCCCCCCCCAGCCTTTTGGCAAACACTCTAGGTTTGGGGCAGATTCAGGGCAGATAAAAGGATGTACTTCTTTACACAATGTGTAGTTAAAGCGATGAAATTTGCTACCGCAAAATGTGGTGATGCTGGCTACCTACTTAGAGCTTTAAAATAAATTAAGGACAGAATGGTCAGTTGCAATTATGGTTATTACGCTACCTCTGCGATTAGAGCCACTATGCCTCTTCATAACAGTCAATGGGGAACAACAGTAGGAGACAGGGCTATTGCATTCGAGTGCTGCTGGTGGGTTTCTATAGGCTTTGGGCAGGCTGTTGTAGGAAACTGGCTGGTCCTTTCCCCCCATTCACACACACATGCGAGTGGCCCCAGCTAGTCCAGCTCTACAGCAACTGCCCCATTCATCTATATATGATCCTATGTATTTAACAGGAAAATCCCCATTTCATTTTTAGTTATGTGATTTATTTTTAGTTATGCAGTAAGTAACCCTGTTAGATGGCACATAATGGATGATGGAAGTTGTTTGCTTTTGCGTGATGCCTTCAGAACTCTCCATCCAGCTGTTTACAACCCTGAGAACTCTTCCATCCACAAAATTGGCTCCAGGGGGTTGCAGCTAGCTCTGTGCACAGTGTATGAACCACAAGGAACTATGATTTCTAAGGTTGCCAACTTTTCGACTTGTTCACATAGCTCAGCCTTTAATAGCAGCTTAGTATGCAGGAATTAGCAGGTGATAGTATTTAAATCCATGCAATGAAAGATAATCATGGGCTAATCCTTGCATACTGAGCACTTTTCTGAATGGCAAAGTTATAGTGGCCAGTTGAAAAATTGGCAACCCTTGTATCTTCTGAATGACTCAGACTTGCTTTGGAATCAAGAGCATACCTGACGCCTTGGCATGACTTAATTTTGAATTGTGTGAAAACATGCAGAGTTAATCCCCATGAATAGAATTGGTTGAGTGAATCAAACTATGGTTCAGCAGTTGCCCTGGGAAGCTACTTTCCCCCACTCAGTTTTGCAAAATGCCTGGCCCATCAAGCTGCATGGACCTCTCACCAGGAACGTAGGAGGAGAGCCAATTTCCTGATATTGTCACCTGCTTGGGACTCGCAAAACAAAGTAGATACGCTCCAACTATTTCAATTTACAAGGGGCAGCCTCTCAAAATACAGAAAGGCCAAAAAGTGTCTTGGTGTCTAGGTCACTGTTGCTTACTGGGAGGCAGATGGGGAGGGCAGAGGTGGTGGTGTGTTCCGTTAAGTGTAAATGCATCTGTTGGGATTGCCTGATCGGTGTAGTGCATATGTGCTGGTGAAACCAATCTCCCCACCATTTTGCCTGTTTCCTGCCCGGTAAGCAAGGGTGTCCTACCTGCCATGAAGCTCATGTAGAAGTTCTGTTCACTTTGTTTGGTTGTCCCAGGTAGGCAGCAAAGTCAGGAAATACAACAGTCAGGCGATTTTATACTCTCTTACAGCCCCCACACCATTTAGATGGTAATGTGCATTACTTCACTTACTGCAGAATGTGATGAGCCAGCTCTGCTATATTTATTGGCTCTTCCACTCATTCTGCCGAGCGGGGCTTGGACATTTGCCCCAGAGTCCTGCCCTGACGGTGCCACTGCCCAAATTGACGTGTCCCTAAATTGTCTTTTGGAGAGAGGCAGGAAGGGGACCTTTAAAAAATGCCGGTTCTGCAAGTTTCAGCTTTCGTGTGGCTGGACCTAAAAGGGATCGGCATCTTCAAACCTTGCTCAGAAACGAAGGTTTCAGCAGGCGTGCCTTGTATGTCAAGCTATATCTGCTGAAACCCTAATTTTTACACAGCTAACTGATGTAAAGAAACCCTGTTCTGTTTAGCATCTGGCCACCCTGTTTAGCACTGCCCACCCTTGGTCAGCACTGCCATCCGGTTAGGACTTTGGAGAGGACATCCGTAACCCCACTCAGCAACAAGACCAGAAGGCTGCCCAAATGCAGCGGAACTGGCTCAACAATATTTTGCCCTTAAGTGAATTAATACGCAGTACCATCTAAACAGAGGGGTGACGTAAGACCCTTTAAGGCTCCTAGTTCAACTTAACTGAGAGTAAGCCCCCACTGAATTCAATAGGGCTTACTTCTGAATAGACCTTGTTAGCTCTGCACTACAAGCCCAGAGTTTAGAATGGTCTAATTGTACCTATGTGGGTTTATTGACTCTGCATAGGCATACTGAAAATGGTCATGGAATCATAGAATTGTAGAGATGGAAGGACCCTGAGGATCTAACCCCCAGCAATGCCTGAATATGCAGCTGTTCCGTATGGGGATCAAACCTGCAACCTTCGCATTATCAGCACCATGCTCTAATCAACTGAGCTATCCAGTAATCCAGTTTTGTTTGCATTTTAATTAGAAACTGCCTAATTTTCCAACCCATATGTGAAATGAAACCCATCAGTCCTTCAAAATTTGCACTTCTCTAAATGTTGTGGCACAGTTGTTCAACCAAACAATATGCACGAAAGGGTATATATTAGGTGTTCTTAACAGCTTAGTTGGCTAGAGTGTGGTGCTGATAACACCAAGGTTGCAGGTTGGTCCCTGTATGTGACAGCTGCATTTTTCTGCCTTGCAAGGGGGTTGGACTAGTCAATATACCCACATAGGTGCAATTAGACCATTCTAAACTCTAGGCTTGTAGTGCAGACCTAACAAGGTCCATTCAGAAGTAAGCCCTATTGAATTCAGTGATTGAATAACTCTATGATTCTACCATATTTTTCGCTCCATAAGACACACTTTTCCCTCCTAAAAAGTAAGGGGAAATGTGTGTGTGGCTTATGGAGCGAATGCAGGGGGGAGGCAGGCGGGAAAAGCCCCCAAGAGCCGCACACAAGCTCCGCACGGCTCTTGCAGGCTCCCAGGAGGGAGAAGGGACTGACTGGCCACGTCAGTCCCTTCTCCCTCCTCGTAGAAAAGCCTGCAGCTCCTGTGGGCTTTTGCGGGAGGTGGGGAATACTCCCAGAGCTGCTCTTTGGGGCTTGGGGGGGAACCCAGGCTTCCCCCGCCAGCCCCAACAAGCTCCTGAGCAGCTCTGGGGTATCCCGCGAAGCCTCTGCAGGGCAGCGGGATGACTACCCCAGAAGCCAGAACAGCTAGAGAAAGTGCTGCGCAGCGCTCCCTCTAGGTGTTTTAGCTTCTGCCTTAGCGGCGCCAAAAGCCCCCAAGAGCTACACACACTCTCCACGTGGCTCATGAAAGAGAGCGCTGAGCAGAGCCTGGGATGCATACAGGTTCTGCTCAGCGCTCCCTTTAAATAATATTTTTTTCTTGAATTCTCCCTCTAAAAACTAGGTGCGCCCTATGGTCAGGTGCACCTTATGAAGCGAAAAATACGGTATATTAGTGAAAACAACATACAAAAGGCATAGAGAAAATTGCTTGCAAAAAATGTGTATATTAATCAAAACTACATACCTGAATGGGTTTATCAGGAGAAATTTGGCTGGATTGCTGATCGATTCCTGTTAAATTTCTTTCTAAAAATAAAACATAAAAATTGTCAATAGTTGCAAAGATGTATAGGTCTTAAAGTAATATTTGGGGGAAAAGGAGCTGAGAGAACCAAACTGACAGAAATGTCTATCGCTGGTCATAGATGGATAGACAGATCAATCTATTTCTGCTTTGCGTCCCTTTCACCTGTGTCCACTCACATAGGAGTCCATTCTGTCCTGTTTCTGTATCTGTATTAAAAATGCACTCCTAACGATCTCTATTCATATGTAAGTCTCACTAAATTCAACTGGGCTTACTCCCAGGCACATTGGGGGCTATGACTGCAGCCTAATCTGTGATGGTCATGATCAGTGCTTTTTTTTATATATAAAAAAGTTTAGGGGTACAGTACTCTCATTTTCCTACTCATATTGAAAGACTGCCCCTCAATGAGGCCGAACTTAGATTCACATAATGTTTAGGGGTATGTGTACCCGTGTCTCCCCAGAAAAAAATGACTGGTGATGATGATTAAAAGCAGCATGAAAGCTAACTTTTAAATGCATTTGCTGAATTCCTGAAGCACCCCAAGTGCAATAGGGCAGAGAAAGGAGTCAGAACATGACCCTGAGTGTGAAAGCAGGTATGGAAGTTTGCTTCCAAACTATCATTTCTATGTTAGAAGCACAGAAATGTCTCTAGTTTTATCTGTGAAATGCTTCAAGGTATGGAGACGGGAAGTTCTACAAGTCCGCCATGAATTCCAATGAATCTGAACCTTATCTCTACCTTTCCTGGGCAAATGTGCAGATCGGAATGCAATTATCTTTGAATTTTGTCCTCCTCCAACTTTTGCAAAGTAGTTTTCAGCTACAAAAAAACCCCCAATGATAATACTGCTATTCACTTTAAAGTACATATTTTAGGGTAAAATGTATTTAGAACTGTACACACCGCAACAAAATACACATTTATGTTTTCTGATAAAATATTCATTTAAATATGAATTTTATGTTGAATATTTTTTTTAATGTATGGTTTCATGCAGAAATGAGATGGAACTTTTGAATGAATACATGCAAAATTAACCTGGATGAAAACAGATTGATCCCTCTCTTTCTATTAAACACTCAGTTTCATCTCTAACTGGGCACCTACCTTTCAACATTTTGCGGACAGAAATAGGGACATGCTTGTAGCACTCATTCCAAGATTACAGCTCCAATGCTCATTCCAAGGATTACACTGCCACTGTTACACTGAATTGTGGCTCCACTCTGTCTACCCTGTCTTCTGCCAATTTTAAACCATGGGGAATGTTTGTTGTTTTGATTACCAATATATGCAAGGGGAAATCCTATTGCCCTGCAATAGATTACCAATGGCTCAAAACATGTATCTGCAACTTCAGTCTATGAAACAGCAGGCAATGCACTGCACAGTGTCTCTTAAATTACTGAGGTGCCACTGCTACAGAACTAACAAATCAGCTGCAACACTGAGGCTTCATTCACTTATTCATCATATAGCCTGACATGTGGCATACATAACCTGTAAGAAGTGCCTTTCTGCTTTCTGCTTAGGGCACACAGGACAGTCCCTATGGAAAAGAATCAACAGACACACAAATCTGACATAAGAAATGACAATAGTCAGAAAACAGTAGGACAATATTTTGAATAATTCAGTCTACCAGGACACTCTAAGGATCATCCTTGAACCAAGGAATTTCAAAGGGAGCCACAAATGTGATACTGCTGGATTACAAGTAAATCAAGATATTCAGCTCAACTGAGTTTCCAGACAATAGTTTCCAATTGCATTTTAGATGTTAACTAGTCTCTGCATTACCTGGCTGATTGTTTTATCACACACCACTTCTGTTGTAAAGGGCCACTGTGCTTATTCTGGCTCAAACTGAATTGCCGCTATCTGCACCTTTTGCATTTCATTTCCCTCTAAGCTCAGGGTTTGCCACCTGTCCCCTCTGTGGTGCATATATTTACAAAAACACTTTGTGCATCCAATGCAAGTTCATGCCATAATAAATTTGTTGGCCTTTGAGGTTAGTCTTAAGGTTCGTGCACATGCCTTGACACCAGAGGTGGCGGACTCCACTTTCCACTATGAGAAACAACTTCAGGAGAGAGAGATGACCCTGAAGAACAACAGCTCCCTATTGTTCACACTAAACACGTGAAAAATGCCCTCTTCACTGGCACGTGCTTTATAAGCACAGGTACAGAAAAACAGCAACAGCTGGTGTATAAGAAAAATACAGCACACAGTGACCCTCAGATCTTGATCATAGATATTTTTACAAGGGCACAAGCAAAGAATACTTCTCTATTTGTAACATGTGCAGCTGGCATTGAGTGTGAGCTTTCCAAAACATTGCTCAGTCTTCGCTTGTTGTGCATGTCTGTTTCTATTTCTGCCTGCTAAATCAAACAGATTTTGTGCAAACTTATCCTCCGGGAAAATATGCATGTGACTCTGTTTTGGAAGTCATTCTTGCATTGGGCCTAAATCTTGCACACTAAAATCAAGTCATTTGCCCCACTGACAAAACAAAATCCTTTTGTATTCCTGTACTCAGCTCAGTGACCGCTGCATACTCTTTAACAGTAACAGGAAGATATTGACAAATGAATCCTGTAAATATTGTCATTGCAGTTAAACTAGTCACTTACCTGGATTGAACCAAGTGTGCACCACGAGTTCCTGAGCTGACAGGCAAACGGACTACAGAAACTCCGAATTTTCTACTGCAAACAGAACTCCCGGCTTCTTAACCTGAAAACTTTTTGGACTGTACCAAGATCTAATGAGTCGAGGGGGAGGTTCATAGTAACTTTTGTCTACTTTTCCCTCCTTCTCTCTTGTGGGAAAATAAAACACAGCTGGAAAGGAGTTTTCTTTGGTTCATTCCTGGGACACATATGCTAAAGAGTATTACCGTTAACTTCCGGTTTTTTAACAAACAAGGACATATTAGGAAGGAGGATACCAGGCAGTTTGTGGAGGAATTCCTTTGCAATAAACTGGACAGGCGTTGGCATACTTGTTATTATAGAAGGAGAATAAAAAAATGAGTGGGCTTGTTTGTGAAGTTGTCTTGCGATCTCCACATGGGTAAAAATGCACAAGACACGTTCCCTGCCTATTTTTATGCTGTTTCTCTTTGGCAGCAAACGTCAACAGATTTCAAGCTGGTAAGAGATAAACTGTGAATGTCAGCTTTGTCACCAAGCAGCCAGTTAAGGCTGGTCCATTAGAGAGACTGGAGCACCAGCCCACCACCTCAGACAGCCCCCACCTGCATGCCTTCTTCCTAATATCCAATCTGGTGTGTGGCACTGGTTCTTGGCTTCCTCCTCTTCCTCACTTTGATTTGCGTTTTTAGAACTTAGCAGCGAGAAGGGTGAGGACAAAATCAGTGGGCCCTTACAGTCATTAGCTCTTGCTCCACCAACTGCTGGCCTCCCTGCCTTCCGCCTTGACTGTCCCAGTGGACACAGGCTGCCACTGTAGCCAGTGGTGCAGTGGAAAGGGGCACAAGTCTACAGTTTTGTTCCGAGCAGAAGCAAAGATGCCATCTGCCAGAGAACCAGGTTAACTGATGGGCCTTCCTTACTCTGGTGAGCAAATGAGGTGATAATGAGGCTTTCAAGTTTCTTTGTGACAGATTATCATCAGAGGAAGTCAGAGAATGAGGGAAACAATCAAGCAGAGGCTAGATACTTCTTTCCTTCTCTTTCATGGGGTTCCTACTTCATGCTGATCATTTAAATGTAATGCATTTGCAAGATTGCTTGCATTTCTAATTAAAAACTGCATGCAAACTATTATTATTATTATTATTATTATTATTATTATTATTATATCCCAACTTTCCTTCAAGGAGCTCAAAGTGGTGTAGATAGTTCTCCTTCTCCCCACTTTATGCTCACAAGAACCCTGTGAGAGGGGTTAGGATTAATGGCAGTGATTGGCCCAAGGTCACCCAGCAAGTTTCATGGGTTAGTGGGGATTTGAACCTTGGTCACCCAAGGCCTAGTACAACACTCTAACCACCACTGTCTCCTCAGAAGGGGTGGCTGTTTGCTATGATCAGCCAGTTAGTGTAAGCCTTGGTGGCAGTGTAGTGGTTAGAGTGTCAGACCAAGTCCTGGGAGACCTGTGTTCAAATTCCCTCACAGCCACATAAAAGCTCACCTGGGTGACGTTGGGCAAGTCTCTCAGTGTAAGCCCAACCTGCCTCACAGGTGATAGAATGGTGTGAGGATAAAATGGTGTGGGGGCAAAGAACCATGTGTATCACCTTGAGCTCCATGGAGGAAAAAAGGGTAAAGGGGACCCCTGACCATTAGGTCCAGTCGTGGCCAACTCTGGGGTTGCGGCGCTCATCTCGCTTTATTGGCCAAGGGAGCTTCTGGGTCATGTGGCCAGCATGACTAAGCCGCTTCTGGCGAACCAGAGCCGCGCACGGAAACGCCGTTTACCTTCCCACTGGAGCGGTACCTGTTTATCTATTTGCACTTTGACGTGCTTTTGAACTGCTAGGTTGGCAGGAGCAATGGGAGCTCACCCCATCACGGGGATTCGAACCGCCAACCTTCTGATCGGCAAGTCCTAGGCTCTGTGGTTTAACCCACAGCGCCACCCGCATCTCGTAATGGAGGAAAGATGGGAGAGAAATGCAATAAATAAACAAATAGTGCAGGAAGTCATCCCCTTTGGAGATCTTAGTGGGGGAAGAGAATACCTGGCTCACCAAGTGGATCCAGTTGCCCACTCTTGCTTTGAAAAAAAAAGCTTTGGGCTGCTCATGTGTGCTGGTGGTATGGCGACAACTTTCAAAACTGGGGCAGAAAGGGTCAAATCTTTAATAAGGATTTGCTGTGACTTTCCCGTTTTGTATTACCTCTGCCTTCATTCTTAGAAAATTACATTTCGCCTTTCTTGAATTTCAAAGTGCTGGTTCCCTGACTTTCAGCATAATCAGATCAGAGATGGTTCCATTGTTCACACAAGTTCATTTTGGGGTTGCTTATTTGATGCTTCAAATCCCATTGATCCTGGTGGAACATGAGCAAGCATTCTGGGATCAAGCTTTGCACCCTGCTTCCTGCTCCCCTCCATCAGTGGAACATGCAAACTATTGTTTATTTTATTTCTGGGTGCCAACGGCAAGCCCCCGACTTTTGCAAACACACAGCAAACACTGTTAGTTAACCTCTTTTCAGCAACGGCTGTGCTCGGCATAAATTATTAATAAAAATTGCCCTGTGCGAATTGCTTAATAAAACATGAGTTCGTTTCCAGCAGGGATTCTCCCCAAGGCAACATGTTTATTTTATTTTTTCTAATCTAAGCAGTTTTGTTCAGAGAAGGGACCCAAGAGAGGAAGCGTTTGGATCCACACCACAATCTGGAAAAGGGTTTGCTACCTGTTTACATGGCAAGATGGCTCAAGTCAAGAATACTGCATCAACATGGGGGAGCCAAAATCCTGCCAAAACATCTGCTACAATTTTAGCTATATCAAAACAGGACATTTCTTAGATAGAACCATCTAAATGGAAAATTTTTTAGATAGCACCATCTAAACGGGACATTTCTGAGATAGAACATTTTTGTTTTTGTTTTCCTTTTATCTGACAGATAGTAGCTTAAGTACAGCTGCATGGAAACATTAGTGTTGTGCAGAGCATTTGTCCTGTACAGTGGTACCTTGGTTCTCAAACGCCTTGGTTCTCAAATGCCTTGGCTCCCAAATGCCGAAAACCCAGAAGTGTTCTGGTTTTTGAATATTTTTTGGAAGCCGAACATCTGATGCGGTTGTTGGCTATGGTTTCTGGGGCACCTGTTCCAATCAGAAGCTGTGCCTTGGTTTTCGGACATTTTGGAAGTCAAACAGAATGGATTAAGTTTGGCACTTTTGTTTTTGCTATTTATTTTGCGTTTTTGTTTTTGAAGCTTTTTCGGTTAATTTGTTTTTCTGACTGTGTGGAACCCAGTTCAGCTACTGATTGATTGATTGATTGTGTGACTGCAGAGATGGAGAAAAGCCCCCCCCCCCAATCCAAACAATGACTATCATCAGTGCACATAAGAAAAAATAATAATTTTTATTTTTATCATCTACAATACTGTCTTATTTATTTTATAGTACAGGACATTGATTATTGCTTTCATTTTATGGATCAATGGTCTCGTTGGATAGTAAAATACATGTTAAATTGCTGTTTTAGGGGTTGTTTTTAAAAGTCTAGAACGGATTAATCCGTTTTGCATTACTTCCTATGGGAAAGCATGCCTTGGTTTTCAAACGGACTTCCAGAAAGGATGAAGTTTGAGAACCAAGGTACCACTGTATTATTTCTCTCTATCATCCTCCATCAATTACAGTGGTGCCCCGCAAGACGAATGCCTCGCAAGACGAAAAACCCGCAAGATGAAAGGGTTTTCCGTCGCGGAGGCGCTTCGCAAAACGAAGTTCCCTATGGGCTTGCTTCGCAAGACGAAAATGTCTTGCGAGTCTCGCCTCCCCCCCCGCTTCCCCCCCTTTTTCAAAGCCGCTAAGCTGTTAATAGCCTTTTAACAGCTTAGCCGCTAAGCCCGCTAAGCCACTAATAGCGCTAAATCGCTAATAGCGCTAATCCGCTTAGCCGCCAATGGGGTTGCTTCGCAAGACGAAAAAACCGCTAGAAGAAAAGAATTGCGGAACGGATTCTTTTCGTCTTGTGAGGCACCACTGTAATGAGAAAAGAAATTGGACTCCATAATTATCAAAGGACAGGGAAAACCTTTGGTGAATTACCTGGTGGAGCAGAGGAGAGTGCCCCTGCTTAATTTTGAGATGGATGAAGGGTACCTGTGAGTGCCCTTTCTTTGGTTCTGCAAATCATCTTACCTGTGGTTCACACTCTGCATCCTTCCTAGATGTCCACACTTCAGTCAAAGCCCAGGGGAAGACATCATGAGCTTTTTTCAAATCAGGAACCACGAGCAGCCGGGGGGGGGGGAGGTGCAGAGCACTGGAGAAATGTTCACACTGGAAAGAAAAAAGCACACGCCATCCTTGGCCACCTTGCCATCGGTGCTCAAAGCCCCACACCCATGCAGTCTTTCAATCATAGAACTGTACGACTGGAAGGGACCCCGAGGGTCATCTAGTCCAACCCCCCACAATGAAGGAATCTCAACTATAGCACCCATAAATTCTAAACAGATTTGCAAGTGCTCTGAGAATGAGGCAGGGTGGGGGGTGGGGAAACAGACTCTTTTGTAGAGGAAACAGGAGGCCAGATTTTGGCAAAATAATACTACTAGCACTAGCATCAATGCCAATTCTTGTTAGGTCTTCAGAAAGAGATTGGGAAGGGAACAAAAGGTTCATCTAGTCCATGGATAGGCAAACTAATGCGTCTCTGGGTTATTTGTGGGGCATAGGAATTAATTCATCACCGCCATCAGGCTCAGCTCCAGAAACTTGGTCCAGCTGCTCAAGCTGGGTGGTGCAGTCTTACCTGACCGAGTCCTGGTAACTGTAGGACTCTGGGACAGTGCTTGGAGAGAACCATTTTCAATTAACAAAGTCCACATAATTGGTTAAAGGTTTTTTTTGTTTTGTTTTTTACACCACCTGAAAGCAATTCCCATAGTTGCTGGGTGAATGGAACATAAATTAAATTTCTTTTGAGGTAGAACGCGAAGGATTTCTACTTCTACCTCGACTACAAAGCGGTCTATGTAGGGATGGTCTTGGCTCTGCTTCAGAAGTTGCAGCTGGAGCGGAATGCGGGGCCAGATTGTTGGTGGGAGCTTCTGGTCGAAAGCATGAGACTCTCTTCTTGAAACAGCTGCGCTAGCCGGCCATCCGCTACCAAGCCAAGTTCAAGGATCTTTTGATAATTTGCAAAGCCCTGGAAAACTTAGGTCCAAGATCACTCAGGAAATGTCTGAATCCTGATAATCCCAGATTGATCACCAGGTTCATCTGCAGTAGCATCCTTGGTCATTCCCTGAGTCGGTGAGGCTCATTTGACAGCAATATGAAACTGAGCCTTTATAATAATACAGTAGTACCTTGGTTCTCGAACGGCTTACAGTGGTACCTCTGGTTGCAAACTTAACTTCGTTCCGGAGGTCCGTTCTTAACCTGAGGTGCCACTTTAGCTAATGGGGTCTCCCGCTGCTGCTGTGCCGCCGGTGCGCGATTTCTGTTCTCATCCTGAGGTAAAGTTCTTAACCCGAGGTACTTTCGGGTTAGCGGAGTCTGTAGCCCGAAGTGTTTGTAAACCGAGGTACCACTGTAGTTGTCAAACAAATCGGCTCCTGAATGCCGCAAACCCGGAAGTAAGTGTTCCGGTTCACGAACGTTTTTTGGAAGCCAAATGTCCAACGCGGCTTCCACTTGATGAGTGCAGGAAGCTCCTGCAGCCAATCAGAAGCTGCCCCTTGGTTTTCATTTGATTTCGGGAGTTGAACTGACTCCCGGAACGGATTAAGTTTGAGAACAAAGGTACCACTGTAATAATAATAATTTATTATTTATACCCCGCCCTAGTGGCGTAGTGTGGGTTGTCAGCACCCGGGGCAAGGCAAGTAATTTGCGCCCCTAACCCATGGATTTGCGCCCCCTAACCTGTGGATTTGCCCTAACCCTAGATGTTGCGCCCAGTGCGGCCGGCCCCCCCTGCACCCCCCACGCTACGCCACTGCCCCGCCCATCTGGCTGGGTTTCTCCAGCCACTCTTTCGTGCCATTGGCCTAGTCCTGTGGAACACTTTGCTACTAGAGATCCCAGGCGCCTTCTGTGCCAGCTTTTAAATGCCTGCTGAAAACTTTTCTATTCCTCCAGGCCTATGCAGGCAATAAAGAACACATTATTCCAAAATGGTTAACTGATGCCTGTTTCTTATTTTTTTAATACGTTTTTTATTATATGGTTTTATGTTTTATTGCTGTAAACCACTTTGATATATTTTTTATGACACAGCAGTATACACATATCTTTATAAATAAATAAAATCTCACATGTGCTTTTTTACTAGTTATACTCTGTGGGTCTTTAAGCTTAAAGATCAGAATTGTTGGGGGAAATGAATTAAACAATTCACCTTCAACAGCCTCTGCATTTAGATGTATACTTAGTGTTCTTAAACATCCTCTATGCTTCAGCACAACAGCCTGTAATATTCGGAATGTGGGGTGGGGAGTTTGGATGAAATTGAATTGAGAACTGAAAGTGAACCAGACTGGCCTATCTGGTGAAAAGATGAACTTAAAGAGCAATTGGTTCCCTTTTTTGGACATGTGGAGCTTGAACAAGAATAAATACCTTGGAAAAAATGAACTTTCCAAATTCTGTTCTTGAAGGGCCTCAGGTGCCATCTGCCAGAGAACCAGATTAATTGATGGGCCTTCATTACTCTAGTGAGCAAATGAGGTGATAATGAGGCTTTCAAGTTGTGTGAGCTCCATTTGTGTGTGAGCTCCATGAGAGTTCCACAAGATCATGCATAACTCCAGCAGTAGCAGGCAAGGCACAACCCCGCGGGATTCTACTGCCCAAGGTGGTTGCCTCAGTCCACCACAAAGGCCCTGGGCAAGGGCTTAGAAGTGCTGCAGCCCCAGATCCTAGTGTGCCTAGTGTGGAGTTTCAGGTGCTGGAACTGGAAAGCTGCACTGCACAGGCCTGGGGCTTCTGTCAGTGGTGATGTCGGGCTGCGCCTCCCCTCACCTGCTGCCTCTCCTCAGCTCGGGCCTGAGTCTGGCTTTGACACTAGTTGCAGCATGCAGAGGTCTGTCATGCATTGCCACAACAGAGGCTTTGCATCACTAAAAATATTGTTTATCTATTTACAGTGGTACCTCAGGTTACATACGCTTCAGGTTACAGACTCTCTGCTAACCCAGAAATAGTGCTTCAGGTTAAGAACTTTGCTTCAGGGTGAGAAACAGAAATCGTGCCTCCGGCGGCACGGCGGCAGCAGGAGGCCCCATTAGCTAAAGTGGTGCTTCAGGTTAAGAACAGTTTCAGGTTAAGAACGGACCTCCAGAACGAATTAAGTACTTAACCCAGGGTACCACTGTATACACCACCTTTCCTCCAACGAGCTCATGGTATCGGTTCTCCCCCTCCTTGTTTTCTTCACAACAAGCCTGTAAAGTAGGCAAGGCTGGGAAGGCTGTAACTGGCCCCCAAGGTCACCCAGTGAGCTTCATAGCCCAGTGGGGATTGGAACCTTGGTCCCCCAGGTCCAATGCTATAACCACTACACCACATGTTGATTTATACGGTGAACGGCTGGGAATTCTGGGACCTGTAGTCCTTCCTCTTGCTTCGAATAATAAACAAACAATTATTATTATTATTATTATTATTATTATTATTATTATTATTATTATCTTCCAACTCTCTTGCAAGCCTGAGCTTATTCTCAGTTTTAGCCTGCCTGACCTTCTCTCTGCAACTGTTGGCTTCTCGTGCATACTCTTCCTTTGTGATTTCCCCCTTCTTTCGTTTCTTACCGTGCCTTTCTTCAGCTCACCTGTAAGCTCCTTAGGCAGCCACGCTGGTTGCTTTCAGTTCCTCTTTTCTTTCGTGTTGGAATTGTTGCTTGAATGCTGATGGTTCCTTATTTTTAAAGCGAACTTGGCTTGGGCAGCTCTCAGATAGAGAATAGCCCTCTGTAGACACACAGCCACCATAATAAGAGGGCATGGCTATTACCACCATGGTCTACCTGAGAAATTCTCTGAGGTATTTCACAGCCCCCTGCCCGGAGACAGAACGCTAAGCCGGGTGCGTGATATTACTGACCCAGAAGGGAAATTTTCTTAGGTCATAACAACAGAGTTCACAGTTCTACGGCATCGCAGTGAAATGTTTTTGCGAAACCTGCCCTGGACCTCCGCCATTTAGTTGCTCTACAAGTGGAAGAGCAGTATTTGCATTAGGAGTTGTTGGAAACCGAAATTGCTCACTAGGTGGCAGCATTGCTCAACACTGACCTAATCTCCCTCTTAACCTTGTTGCTTTGTAAGGTGTTGAATTTTTCAGGCAAATCACTGCAGCTGGCATCAAATAGGATCCTTCCGTTCGACAGGCTCCCTGCTCTGTCCCCCTCACAATTCTTCCATTAAGCATGTGCAAAGGACACAGATTAGAAAAGTAATGTGTGTTTGTGGGGCAGGGATTAGAAATGTAAGAAGGCATTTTTGTTTCCTTCCCCCTGTCTTCGTTGAATGCAGCAATGCTTCCATTCCACTGTGGTTCGCCATTCACCAAAACCTACGTTGTCCATCTTGCTGTCCTCTGTGGCTGAATTATGTAAATAACGTTGTAAATGTGTTGTCATTATGGGCTAGATGAGCCTTTGGCCCAATCCAGAAGGATCTTCGTTTATTCTTTATGCCTCCCTTATGATGACAATCCCCATAGCCACCCCCTGAGAGGAATCCATGCCCACTAATGGGAGCTGTGTGACTTCTGTAAATAGAAAGGGGCCCCAAGTCAGGATCATGACCACAGCACAGAGATGTGATTGTAACCATTTTTCTTCTACCGCTCTCCTGACAGAAGTTTCCTCTCTCCCCACCACTGTCAAAGCTACCAGTTGACACAGGACAAACATTTCTTCATATATGCATACTTAAACTATAGATTTTGCTTACCCAAGATGTAATGGTAAGTCACCAATTTGGATGGCTTTAAGAGAGATTAGGGACATTCATGGAGGATAAAGCTATCAATGCCTATTAGCCATGATGGTTATGTTCTACCTCCACGGACAGACACAACATGCCTCTTAAACTCCATTATTGGGAACTGCAGGAGATGAGAACACTGTCATGTTTGGTTTCTGTTTGCAAGCTTCCCATGGGCATCCGGTTGGCCACTGTGAGGACAGTGTTCTGGGCTAGATGGGCCAGCAGGGCTCTTATGTTCTAGTTGGTGCCAAGAAGCCTGTGGCATGCCAGGCATTGCTTGACTACAGCTCCCACCATCCAGGACCATTGACCGTGCTGGCTAGGGCTCATGGGAGCTGGAGTCCAGCCAAACCTCTAGAGAGCCCCAAGTTCTCCAGGGACTCAAGGAGAAAGGTAGTCCTATAGGTGCAGTGGTTCCCAATTAGCAAAGTATTACAGACCCCTGTTTTTCAAAAGCCAAGCCATGAACCCAGGGGTGTAGGAAGAAGGGTGGGGCAGTTCACCCCGGGTTCCATCATGGGGGGGGGGGTGGCGGCAAATTATCAAGGAACAATTACAGTGGTACCTCGGGATACATACGCTTCAGGTTACATACACTTCAGGTTACAGACTCCGCTGACCCAGAAATAGTACCTTGGGTTAAGAACTTTGCTTCAGGATGAGAACAGAAATTGGGCGGTGGTGGTGTGGCGGCAGTGGGAGGCCCCATTAGCTAAAGTGGTGCTTCAGGTTAAGAACAGTTTCAGGTTAAGAACAGGACCTCCGGAACGAATTAAGTTCTTAACCTGAGGTACCACTGTACTGCCCAACTAGGGTGGTTCATAAAAAACTTTTTTAAAAAAAAAAAAATGACTGCTCCAAAGGTCTTATCTTACTACACTAGGGATTATATAGCTATATACGAAATTTCAAGCATATCAGTTAATATCTTGACCCTCCTCCACGAAAATAGCTGTTTGACCTTGGCTGTTTCCCTATGTCGTGAAGGCTGAAATTTCAATTCAGTGGAGCGGGGTCAAGATATTAACTAAATTAATTAATTATTAATTAATTAATTAAAGATAAGACCTTTGGAACAGGCATTTTTTAAAAAAAGTTTTTTATGAACCACCCTATTTTCCTACCCTCCGCTAGGCTTCTCAGGTCCTGGAAAGTCAACCTATGTGAATAAAATAAGGCTAGGCCGAGTAGATTTTGCCTTGCCTTCACCCCGCTCCCTGCCCGCAGCTGATTGGCCAGCTGGGTTGGGGGCGGGGCAAGGGCAAGGCAAGGCCAAATCTACTTGGCCTAGTCTTATTTTATTCACATAGGCCCACATTCTGGGCTGCTGGGGAAGCCTGCCAAGGCCGCTGCCTGACCTGCGCACCCCTCTGGCCCCAATCCCCCTCCGGAAAGCCTCTGCTGCCCCCAAAAGTGGAGCGTGTGGGACAGTGGCAGCGCTGCCGCCCCGTTTTGCCCGCGTGTGGCGCCGGGAGGAGCAGCTCAGCGCCGCCCTGGGCACTCGGCAGGCCAGCCTCCCCATTGCCCCCAGCCTCCCCTCCATGAAGGTAGGACCACCCAAAAGCAGCTGTGTAATTAAAAGAAGATGAGAAAAAATCACCAAGGCAATTCTGTGGGTAATTGACCAATTCCTTTAAACAGGGTCTATTAATGAAGATCACACTTTTGACAACCAGTCTGATGCTTTTGCAGGGAAATATTCCTAGTCAAAAGACTTTTTTTTATTATTTTTAAAGCCCTTTCAGTCTCCCATCTCGAGGCTAAGTACAGTAAACTGTACATTCCCACCAAGGCCAACACTCTCCCCAAGGCCGGATTATCTGTGTCTCCCTTGTATCTATTAAGGACTATTCTCTTGCCTTTCCTTTGATATCTATGCTACTGATTACTTCTACCGTATTAATTTTAGAGAAAGTATTTAATTTAAAAAGGATCAGTACTGTAGAATAACAGTGGTAACAATACATTGAAGACAAGTAAATGTTTTTGGGAGGGTGGTCCCAGAGCCCTAGTGCCACCATCCCAAAGAGGATAAAATGGGAGGACTTTGGTACTCTTTTGTCCTCCCCTCCCGCAATGACTTTCTCTCTCTCTCTCTGAGCTGGCTCCCTGCCTTTTAACGTTACATGTGGGGAAACCCGTGTGGGGTTTCTCTTTGTGTAATGTCTTCAAGCCGTTCCTGCGCGTGCCTGACAAATCTGCCCCATTGTCAAAATTTATCTTTTCCCCCACCTCCAGTCTCCGTTGTTGTGTGTCCTGGCTGACGGGGAAAACAGAAGACAGATGGTCATCGGTCAGGGATGGTCTAGTTGAGATTCCTGCATTGCCCCAGGGGTTTGGCTAGATGACCCTCAGGGGTCCCTTCCAACTCTACAATTTTCTGGTGCAGGCTTGTGCAGAGTTTTAGGTACAAGTTGGATGCAAGGGGTGCATAGGATTGCTGCCCATCTTATGCACCATCAGCTCAGGAATAAATCCGACTGATCATGATGAGACTAGATTGCTGCTGTGCAGTCCTCTTTTTTAAATAAATGTTTTCCTTTTCAGATAATACAGAGCATGGTGCAATCACAATAAAGAAAACATCCCCTTCAGTAGTTTCAAGCACTACTATAGGTTCCACATAATATCTGTACTGCGTTGTTTACTGTGACAGCACTTGCACTTTGGAACTCCCCGCCTATTGCAACAAAGCACGTGCCTTTGCTAGACTCTTTTCGGGCACCTGCTAAAAGCATTCTTCTTTAGGCAAGCATACCTAGATGCTTAGGAAGTTGAAGTAATTTTAATCTTAATATTTTAGCTTTTGTATGTTTTAAAGTAGGATTGTTAATTTCTTACTGCTGTGGGTTTTTTTGTTTTGGTAAACCACTTTGCAGGTTTTTTTTAAAATAAATTTTATTAAATAAATAAACAATAAATATAAATAAAATAACACAAGCCAAAACACAAGCCATCCTGTAGATTTAAGTATCTGTCCACAGTCGCCTACTTGTTATCAGAGGCCCAGAATCCGCATTCCTTTGTAAGAAAATACGAAATAAAGTAAAACCATTTTTGCAGGAATTTTTTTTTAAAAAAATCAATGTGTGTGGGGGGGGGTGACAAGAAATTGTCTGCACCAAGTACCACCTGACCTTCCTACGCCTCTACATGAACCCCCTACTTTTGAAAATGTTGATAGCTCTATGATAGTTTTTGTTATGTAAATGGGGCTACGGACACCTTGGGTGGGTTACGTGAAGCCTCTGGGATTCCCAGGCAAACAATTGGGAACCACTGCTATAAGGTTTTAACTGGCTGCAGGGTTTGTAAGGCTTCAGCTGGTTTTAAGTTGGTTTATTACGCTGTTTTGATTAGGCTGTTTATTATAGCTGGTTTTATTATCTTTATGTTTGCATTGTATAAGATACACATGTTATTGTGTGTACTTAGTTTCTTACTGCTCCATATTTTAATAGTACATGGAGGCTGCTTTCAGAGGTAGATACCGTAAAAGACAATCTACACATCTTTAGAAATTAGAAGGTGGGGGTGGGAGAAAAGGAGGACCTTCCAGCAGCTATGGCCCTTGCAGCCAAATAGTCATAGAAATAAATTGGAAATGAGAGAAATCAGTTGACGTCTTGCAATGGGATAAAGGCATAGAGGGCATAACATCATTGACAGTATGCACATATTATAAATATATATAGAAGAAAGTGCACCAAACAAATTTATTGGAAAAACGAAGTCAATTTGTCTTGGAATATTACATTCCAACAATGAACAATGTTCAACTGTACATATTATTTTCACTCATGTAAACTGACATTCTGCTTAAGATATCATAGTATCCGGAGATATCTACACTCTTTAAACCATGATTACATTTTGTATATGGATACATCATGATATTTTGATAGTTATATAAATGTTGCCTATATAAATGAAACATTTCTTTTGCAATTTTTTTCTTAATAGAGGGGAGAAAGGAAGAGGAGATTATAATATTAGGTTTGGCCATTGACCATACAGCAATATCAATAATGGCAGCCTCCCTTCCTCTGAACTCTTTCCCTTCATCTCATTCCAAGGGAATCTGTTCAACTACCATTTGTAGATGAAAACATCCTGTAACCGTCAAAAAAAGAAGCAGGATGTCTTTGGAACACCCCCCACCCCAACTGTGATGCCATGGCCAAAGAATATTCTAACTCAGGGTCAACAGAAAGAT